AGATAACAAGCAAAATTTCTCAACAGTTTAAAGCCAACCACACACACACACACATATATATATATGCACATATATATGCTATACATACATATATATACATACATACATACATATATACATACGCACATACATATACATACATACATATATATACATATGGTATATGTATATATATTTATATATACGACTTTTATTTATTTATATATATATAATCGTATTATATGTGTGTGTGTGTATCTTTGTGTGTGTGTATTTATATTTAATAGCATTAAATATTGACTCCTGACAATAAGGAAGAGTTAATTCTCTTTGTCATTCATATACCCATTAGTGTGAATACACTCAGAAAGAGAGAGAGAGAGACAAAGGGGAAAAACTTGTTTATAATTTTTGTAATCACATCTGTTTAATTGTTGAGAGATGCTTTTTTAAATAAAAAATTATCTTTGTTTGTGTATGTATGTATGTATGTATAAATGTATGTATGTATAAATGTATGTATGTATAAATGTATGTATGTTTGTATGTATAATTGTATGTATGTATAAATGTATGTATGTATAAATGTATGTATGTATAAATGTATGTATGTGTGTATGTATGTATGTATGTATAATTGTATGTATGAGTGTATGTATGTATGAATGAATGTATGTGTGTATGTATGTATGTATGAATGTATGTATGTATATATGTATATATGCATGTATGAATGTTTGTATGGCTGATTTATTGCTATTTATTTAAACTATTTATTACTCGGCCAGTGATTAGAACACGTTTGAATAGAAATTAATTATTGTTTTATTATTATTATGATTATTATTATTGTTATTATTATAGTAGTTGTTGTTGTTAATGTTGTTCTTAGAACTGTTGTCACTGATGTAAGCTATTAATTTTAACACAGGTGGTCAATTCTTTGTATTGTTACAATAGTTACATTAATAGACATCAATTCAAACACACACATACATACAAACACACACACAAACATACATACAATCTCAGTGCACAGTTTTTCAGTACATACATACATACAAACAAACATACATACAATACAATACAAAAGCCAAACTTTGGTTCAGTATTACAAGGCCAAAATTCCATTGTGATGACATTTGTGATTTCAACTTCTTGTCATGGTTGACATAGCAGTAGCAGCAGCAGCAGTAGTAGTAGTAGTAGTAGTAGTAGTAGTAGTAGTAGTAGTAGTAGTAGTAGTAATAGTAGTAGTAGTAGTAGTAATAGTGGTAGTAGTAGTAGTGGAAGAAACACAGCAGCAGTAGTAGTAGTGGTAGTAGTAGTGGTAGTAGTAGAAGTAGTAGTGGTAGTGTGGTAGTAGTAGTAGTAGTGGAAAAAGCACAGTAGCAGCAGCAGTAGTAGCAGTAGTAGCAGAAGCAGTTAACTCGACATGTAATCAAAAATTTCAGTCACTTTTGTCATTAATGTTGCTATTATTATCGTAATTATATCAATATGAATAACAACATAAACAACAACAACAACAATAATAATTATTATTATTATTAATATAATTATATTAATAATAATAATTATTATTATTACTAAATATTATATTATAATTTGTGAAATTGCATAATAGAACGCGCAGTTTGATACGTGTCAATGATTTGACAGAATCATTTCCTTCACACAGTTTGGATGGCGATGATGATGATTGTGGTGGCAATGATGATGATGATGATTGTGGTGATGATGATGATGATGATTGTGGTGGCAATGATGATGATGATGATTGTGGTGATGATGATGATTGTGATGATAATAATAATGATGACGTTGTTGAAATAACAAGGTGGTTTGTGGAGATATTACTTCAATTTATCTCTATAATCGTAATCCATGCTTAATTTATTCTTACAATAATACAAAAAATAATAATTAATAATATTAACAATCATAAAAAATAAGAATATTAATAATTAATTAATGATAATAATAATATCAATCAAGTTTACCAGAAAAATTAGTGCGTAAAAATTGAAGTTTATCAAAATCGTTGGGCGATATTTTGATTGTTATCAGAAAATCTATTATTAACAACAAAGTTATCTTGATCTATATCTAATCTTTGGATGTTTTTGATCGGATATAGCGGAATAGTACTTCCGCTAACACTTCCGCTTAGCTGTATCTCCGTCAAACCTTGATTGTCGCTTATCATTTTATGATTTTTGGTAAATTTGCTGTTTTTGCTGTTACTGTTGACCAGTTTCAAACTGTTTCCTGATTTTATTTGAGCTGTTAGAGGGTGAGAAAATAATATTTTACCTGAACGGTTGTTTGATCATTCATTCATTCATTCATTCGCATGTACGTTCGTTCATTCATTCTATTCATTTATCCTATTCATTCATTCATTCGTTCATTCGTTCGTTCATTTGTTCATTCATTCATTCATTCATTCATTCATTCATTCATTCATTCATTCATTCATTCATTCATTTACGCATTCGAACCGATCACAGTTATAGCTTCTTCGATATTGCCGGCTTTGAAAAAGTATTTTGGTTTCGCGCGTCTGAACATCGTGCTCGGCTGTTTCTAATAATAATAATAATAATAATAATAATAATAATAATAATAATAATAATAATTATAATAATAATAATAATAATAATTATTATTATAATAATAATAATAATAATGAATAATAAATGATGACTGACTTGCAAGTTACATGCTACAACCATGACGTTAGTTTTGTGCAGTTCCTCCAACAGTTCTCTCATTCCCTGGATGAATGAGTGAATGAGTGAGTAAGTGAATGAGTAAATGAATGAACGAATGGATGAAGGAAGGAATGAAACGTCACCTGCATAGCTGTTGTATCGACAATAGCCATATTTACCATGTCAAGTATCAAGCCGTCCAACTTCATTTCTACGAGTTTAATATTATTATTTTGAATGAAAGAATGAATGAGTGAATAAATGAATGAATGAAAAAAAGAAAAGAATGAATGAATGAAAAAATGAACGAACAAATCAGTGAAAGAACGAACGAATGAACGCGCGAATTAATCAATAATTTAGTAGATGGATGGATGAACGAACGAATTAATTAATGAATGAGTGAGTTAATGAATGAATGAATGAATGAAAGAACGAATGAGTGAATGATTGAATAAACACAAAATAAAAGAATGAATGAATGAATGAATGAATGAACCAACGAACCTGAAATCTTATTTTTAACTTTATCTTTAATATAAGCTACGGCCGGATACATAAGGCCGATATTGACCCTGGCCACCATAATGTTCATCTTATCTTGTTGGCCGTACTGATGATGATGACGATGGTAATAATGATGATGATGGTGATGATGATGGTGATAATGATGATAATGATGATGGAGATGATGATGATAATGGAGATGACGACGACGACGATGATGATGATGATGATGATGATGATGGTGGTGATGATGACGATCGGGAAAAAATCTTCACGCACCAATTTCCTCCATTCGGCATCATCAATATCTAAGAGCTGCAGAAAATGTTAATAAATAATATCAATTATCACAATCATCATCGTCACCACCACCATTATCACCACCATCATTATCATCATCATCATTATTACCACCATCATTATCATCATCATCACCACCACCACCATCATCATCATCATCATCTTCAAAATGACCTTAACTTTTGGCCTGGCCATTGGGTAGATAAGAATGGCGAATGACACGGCGACACCTATGGCTATTCCGAACTGTTTCCGTTATTAACATCGTCATAATTATTATAATTATTATAGTCATAATAATAATTATTATTATCATTACTACTACTATCACATCATCATCATCATCATCACCGTCATCATCACCTCGACACTAAGAATGAATGAGAGAATGAACGTTACAATCCAAGGAAGAAGATCAATTCCTGATGGTGGTGGTGATGATGATGACGTTGGTGATGATGATGTTGGTGGTGATGATGTTGGTGGTGATGATGATGATGATGATGATGTTGGTGATGATGATAATGATGATGACGTTGGTGATGATGATAATGATGATGATGTTGGTGGTGATGATGATGTTGGTGGTGATGATGATGATGATGATGTTGGTGATGATGATAATGATGATGACGTTGGTGATGATGATAATGATGATGATGTTGGTGGTGATGATGATGTTGGTGGTGATGATGATGATGATGATGTTGGTGATGATGATGATGATGTTGGTGATGATAATGATGATGATGATAATGATGATGATGTTGGTGATGATGATGATGGTGGTGGTGTTGTTGGTGATGATGACGATGTCGTAGATGATGATGACGATGATGGCGAATCTGATGTTAAATCTGACAATAAGATAGGTCAGCAATCAAAAATGCCTCCATCATCCTCATTATCATCATCGTTATCTTGGCAGCCATCTTGGCAGCCATCTTGACTAACTCCTAGTCCTCCAGATGATCCAGAACTTATGGAAGGTCATCATGTCAAGGACGGCCATGATGATGACAACCGCCAGGGCAGCTTCTGGGATGTAGTAGAATAATGGAGTGAGAAACTGCAGGGCTATCAGCACCAGGGCACCTTCGAATGAATAAATGAATGAATGAACGAATGAATAAATGAATGAATGACTAAGTGGATGAATTAATAAATGTTTGAATCAATCAATCAAGAAGGAATAACTGAATGAAGAAATGGGTGAATGAAAGCACAGAAAAAAAACATTCAATTGAATTAATAAATGCATTGATAAACGAATGATTAAGTGAGGAAATGAACGAATGAACGAACAAACGAATGAATGAACAAGAGAACGAACGAACGAACGAACGAGAGAACGAACGAACGAACGAACGAATGAACAATCTGACCTGTTACGATGCCACCGGCTGGAGTTTTCACGCCGCTAGCAGCGTTCAAGGCCGTTCTAACAATAAAATTATAATTTTTATTATTAAATTATTATTACTGTTTTTATTATTATTGTTATTTTTATTCATATTATTATGTTAATGACTTATTCTTCAATTTTGATTGTAAGAGCGATAGAGGAGAACCAGACATAAGCAGGCGACGTAATATTCATCATTATTCATACCATTATTCATTATCATCGTTATAAACTTACTTATTGTTAATATTAATATTTGTAGTAGCAGTTGTAATAGTATTGATATTAGTGGCACTTCTAGTGGCTGTAGCGAAAGCAATGAAGCAGTGGTGGTAGAATAGTAGCAGAAGTAACTGATGGTAAAATAGTTAGATGTTTGTATTAGAAAAAACCTTGAAAAGGTTCCTGTGATTGGGTACCCCATTACGAAGGCTCCCAACAAGTTTCCAATGCCTGTAAAACGAACGAATGAATGAATGGATGGATGAATGAATGAATGAATAAATGAATGAATAAGAAAGTTTAAGAACAAATGAATTAAACAAATTCTTAACAAACCATAACTTAGAAATTCTTGGTTGGGGTCCATTTTGTAATTGAACTTACGGGCTGTAAATTAAAATACATACATACATGGATACATGCATGCATGCATACAAACATACATACACACACACACACATACATACATACACACACACACATACATACATACACACACATACACACATACATACCAAATACTCTTCCAATAGCCATGGCTTCAATGAGACCTACCATTGGTACAATTAAGAACCCTATCCCTATCGTCTGATTAGTGGATGGATGGATGGATGGATGGAAGAGTGATGAATGAAAAAATTAACTTCAATTGTTTAAAATTATTCGAAGAAAGAAAATTTTAATGAGCAAAAGCTTTTTTGCACAGCAACAACTAATCAATCATTTAAACGAAAAAAACAGAAAATTCAACCAATCACATCGGGACTAAAAAAATCTCTCGACCAATCACATAACATTCAAAAACTTTCAACCAATTATATCAAAACAGTGACAATTCAAACAACTAATCACACAATGCCAACAAAAAATCTCGATCAACCACCTCAACCAATAAACATTCTCAGCCAATCACACGGCGACAAACCGATGACCCAATAAACATTCTCAGCCAATCACACGGCGACAAACCGATGACATGTCGCTGACGTCATAGGTGACGTTCTTTTTGGGGTCGTATAAAGTAAACTGCGGCGTCTGAAAGGAGGGTATGCCCGGAGGAATGTAGCCAATGAGAGAGAAGGGGCGCATTTTGTTGTCTAAAAATATGAAGGCCACTATGGAGGCACCAACTATGACGATGATGTTTCGAGCTGTGTGATTGGTTGGTTGAGTGGGCGATAGAGTTATTTGATTGGTCGATTGATTAATTAGTGATTTTAATTAATTGGTTGATTGATTGGTGATTTGATCGATTAAAAACCTGCAATTATTTTTTTAATTTTTCAAAAGTCATTCACCTACCCATTCGTTCGTTTAATTTTTAATTTCAAGTTTATTAAACATTCAATCATTTCTTTACTTCCTTAGCCATTCATTCATTCGATTGTCCATCCATCCATGCTTTCCTTTCTTCCTTTTTTCATTCATACATTCATATATACATTCATTCATTCATTCATTCATTCATATATACATTCATTCATTCATTCATTCATTCATTCATTTATTCATTCATCAACCGACCAGTCCCAATAAGCCAGACGAATTGACTGAGCAACTTCATTGGAAAATTAGCTGGTGGTTTTGACCAAACTTTTAGCTCTTTAATTTTCTAAATTATTTCAAAATAAATGAAAAATTATAATAAATATAGTGTTATAAATTAAGTTACAAATAATAATGATAAATATTTTAAAATAAAATAATATAAATTAACCAAAAAAAAACTCCTTCCGTTAAAACTTACCCGAAAGAAGACGATGAAAAAGATGCAGACGACGCCCATTAGGAAATCCCATAATCTATTTTTCGAAAATAATAATAGTAAAAAGAAGAAGAAGGAGATAGAGAAGAAGAAGAGGAAGAAGAAGAATAAGGGAAAGAAAATAGTAAAAAATCAGTAAAAAATTGAACTTAAGTTCAGATTTTCGCTCTAATGCTTTGCACTGAGAAAAGTCACTATTATTATTATTATTATTTTTATCGTCATCATCATCATCGTCATCATCATCATCATCAGTACCTCGTTTCCGGTATTTTTTGTATCGTCTGTATCAGTTGAGGTATGAAATCTCTAGACACCTTCTTCAAACCCCACCATTTCTTCAATAATTATTATTAGTAGTATTTATTACCATTATTATTTATTATTATTATTATATTTAATATTTATTATTATTATTATATTTAATATTTATTATTATTATTATTAATATTATTTTTATCATCCTTGTACTCGTATGTAAATGATGAGGAGAATGGACGACTATGAACACTTGTATATTTATGATAATTGATTTTACATTTCGAGGTTTGATGATAATAAAAAAAATTCCAATTTATTATTATTATATTTATTATTATTTATTATTATTATTTATATATTATTATTATTATTTACCTTGACCTGGGTCATGCCGATGGTTATAGCAGCGGCTGTCGTGAAGGCCTTCATGACGGGGAAAGAAATGAAATCACAGAAGGCCCCTGGAAAATTATTTTTTGAAACATTATTTTTTTATTTTGTATTGTTAGTATTTTTATTCGTTTTGTAGTATTAGTGGTAGTATTAGTAGTAGTAGTAGTAGCAGTAGTAGTAGTAATTCTTATCTTCAAACACATTAAAATCCATTACTTTATAGTCTATAAACTAATTAATATGACGCAGTGAAAATATCGACGAAAAAACCGACCGAATCCGACGAGCCACATAATGAGCTGCACAATACCGGTAAAAAAGCCCAACACCACTGCATAAGTCGGATCTTTATCGATCGGATTTTTACCGTAGGTGGCCGTCAGAATGCTCATGATGGCTGACGGGCCTAGGGTGATGTCCTTAGAACCGCCGAATACAGCATACACGAAACTACCGATGAATGCCGAGTAGAGTCCGTACTGTTAAAGATAGGCAATCGGTAAAGAATCGATTTATTATTATTATTATTATTGTTGTCGTTAAGATGACTGTTACCATTAATGTTCCATGAAAAATTTACTATTAGAATTAATGTAGAAGCTATTTAACGTTCTTACTTATACATTTGATTCATCTTCTCATCATCATCATCATCAACGTCATCATCAGCCCCATCACCGTCATCAGTCGCATCATCATCATCATAACCTGCGGTGGTACATTAGCGATGCTGGCATAAGCGATCGATTGTGGCAATACGGTCAGACCTACTGTGAAACCAGCTATCAGGTCACCCTGAAGTTCTGGCAGCCTGTGATTGGTCGAGAGAGAGAGAGATGACGTTTGATTTATTTCAAATTTGATTTGTTAAAATGTTGATGTGTATGTGTGTGTGATTCTTTAAAATTCGATTTGGTTAATAAAGCGTTTAGTTCAATCGATCGTGCGATTGAAAAAGTAATCTTAACATAAATCAGTCAGCAGTAACTGAAAGGACGAATGGACATTAAAAAAGAATGTACGAATAAATAAATGAAAAAACCAATCAACCAACTAATCAACCAACAGACCAACCAACCAACTAACCGACCAACCAGCTAACTAACCAGCCAACCAACCAGCCAACCAACCAGCCAACCAACCAACTAACCAACCAACTAACCAACCAACCAACTAACCAACCAACCAGCCAACCAACCAACCAACCAACCAACCAGCCAGCTAACAGACCAACTAACCGACCAACCAGCCAATCAACCAGCCAACCAACCGACCAACAGACCAACCAGCCAACCAACCAACCGATACTTCGGTCCCCACTCCAAAATCGGCATAATCCTCTTCAACTTATCGTAACTAATCATCGACTTTGAAACTTTTTTCGGGTCGATTTTTGAGAAGGTGTGTCTAATTTCCGAGCCCTCGTCCCTCAGTTCTTCGGCAAAGTGGTGGAAATTAATTCTGGCCTCACCACAACAGCCACCGGCGTTGATGACTTCTTCGTCGTAGTCGTCAATGTCATCCAGGCGTTCGGACAGGTAGACATTTTTCGTTGTATCTTTTAAATCGTTGCTGCTGCTGTCGCCAGTGTCGCCGTAGTTGTAGTTGACATCGTCATCGTTCGTGTCGTCGTCACGACTGACGTATTCGCTTACGTCATCGTCGTCGAAGTAGCCGTAGTTGCGATAGAGTTGTTGTGGTGCTTGTTGGTTCATGTTGGACATATTTTATGATCGTGTGTGTTTGGGTTCGTTTGGACGTGTATGTGTGTTTGTACGTGCGTATGTATGTACGTGCGTGTATGTATGTGCGTGTATGTATGTATGTGCGTGTATGTATGTGCGTGTATATGCAATCTATTATAAATGCCTTCCAACTAATACAAATAATATTACAGAGAACTTACAACATCTTATTGGATTCAAAATGTAAAAAAAACTTAACTGGTTTTTTGGTTTTCTTATTACGGAAATTTCATCAATTTTAATAAGGAATGTTAAGGAATTTCGAACTAGCACCACACATTACATAAGCATAGCACCATCAGTTACAGTATTATTATTATCATTTATCAGTATTATTATTATCACTAACGCTATAATTAAATGTAAGCAATAAATTCACCAGAAATTTGTAAAAATTTTTACAAAATAAATTCCTCAATGAAGGGTTTATATACTTTGATATATATATGTTATATATATATATATATATGTATCATATATATATATATATATATATATATATATATATATATAACCATCTCTACCACTACTATCATCATCGTCGTCGTCATCATTTAGGGTAGAATAAATGAATGAATGAATGAACCATGAATTAATGAATAATTAAAAATATTATGTTTGGTGAACGAATGATTGACGCTTTCATTCAGTCAATCTATTAAGCAATAGACAGATGCGGTGATGAATGGAAGAAAAATTAAAAGAATGAATGGATAAATGAATGAATGAATGAATGAATGAATGGATGAATGAGCGTAAACAAAACAAGTAACGCCTAACTGACCATGATAAAAGTGTCACCTCTATGAATGGAATTAAAATTTTTAATCGCTCAGTTTATTTGATAACATTAATTAAGTATAACTCATTTATTTATAAAAAGGCACACACACACACACAATAATTTTATACGTACTCCACTTAAAATTTATTCAAAACGAAACAATATCATCATCGACAAAGTGCCATAAAAGTTAACAGCATTAATTATCAACAACATCTTAATTCACAGCTTAACTTGCTGTCTAACTTCTCACTAGAATGTATTTTTATTCATTTATTACCTTTATTAATATTTGGGCAATCTATTTTATAAACATTTATATGAAAATAGCAGTAGCAGTATAAACTGTAGCAAAAGTGGTAGCAGCAGCAGCAACAGCAGCAGTAGTAGTAGCAGTAGTTACTTAGTAGTAGAAGTATTATTTAAAATTAGCACATTAAAATGTATAGGAATTAGTTATCTCGATGCACACGGATGCTTGCCGAATAAAATCGAAACGTTTTTAACGCATGGTCGGTTGTTTAGCCGGTCGGTATGGTATAGTCGGTCGATTATTTTATTCTAATTATTCATAACAATAACAGTAATAATAATAACAACAATAACATTGTTATCATAAAATAATAAAAATAACAACAATAAGCCAAATAGTAATTTATATCAGGCGGTTGTACAAATGTAGTTAAAATGATACTGCATATGCATTGATTAAATAATATTAATTTAAATATTAATACAAATAATAATGATAACAATATAAAAAATAATAATACAAATATTAATATTAATAATAATAATATAGTTAAGAAATATGTGAGATGTATATTAAAAAGGATAGCGAGTTTATTGTTAAGGAATGTATGCAAATATAATAAAAGAAAGTATGCTCTGCACGCACACGCACACACACACGTATATATATATAGAGAGAGAGAGAAAGAGAGAGAGAAAGAGAGAGAGCCACACACACACACACACACACACACACATATATATGCATATATATATATGTTGGTAATAGACCATAATTTTTACAATATTCTATAAATTCTACCGAATGTTTGGCGTTAATATGCGAATTCATGCTGCAATTTAAATAATTAAAAATAAGTTTATTTTGAATTTTAATAAACTAAACGTTCACCAAAAAACTTTAGTGAGAAAAATCGAAAAAACGAACTACAAACATATTAACGCCAAACATTCGGTAGAATTTATAGAATATTGTAAAAATTATATATATATAAATATATATACTACCGCATACTTATATATAGAGTACAAACACACGTGTGGCAAAAAAATATACAAAAAGTGGTCATAAATAAATAGATATGTGTGTATACTGTATATAGACCAAAAAGAAATAAAACATAGAAAATATAAATATCGCAACAGAATAGAAGTATACATGATATATATATAGCATAGTATGTACGACGTATAATGTCTATGTATGTATAAACGCGGATCAAGCTAGGAAAGGCAAAAACGTGTTCGACGATCACTAATTTGAATTGATAACGATTTTATTGACGAGAACCGGGTTAGGCAGTTCCTGGACCCCCAGTGTTACGCACTCGCAGTCTTTTTCACTAATTTTAACTTCGATTAGGCAGCCCTGAAAACGACCTATTGATTTTAGATCGTCACAAACTGGGACGGCATTCAATTCTCCGTTTATTTTTGGTCTTTTTTGAGGGGTTTTTCCAGTGTAGATGAATAAATTTTGAAAGCAACTTTTGTTATTATTGTGGAGAACGGCGCTGCCTCTCATAGCATTATTTACAATTCCATCATTTACATTTTGATTACCGCCGATGGGACCGCTAAAAATTTTTATATTTTCGATACTCTCTGGTTTCAGGAAGTTTACAACCATAAGTGAATTCTTATTGGACAGTTCAAAAATAAATTTATCACTAGGGATGTACACATCTTCAATTGCTTGCATCTTATTTGTTGACGTCATGTTACTGTAGATAACTGCCAACGGATTTGCTCGGAACTCGTCTATTGGCTGGCTTAAGAAGTACCTTCAACAAAAAATATTTAGCTATCATTAACATTATCTGTTCAATTATTTTTATAAATATTGGTAAATATTACAGAAAATATATGGCTCACTTGTCTTTAAGTTTATTATCCTGCCTAAAATTAAATGATGACCTCAAACCAAAATGTTGAAAGAGACTTGGCTTGTAAGAAAGCATCTGATTGGCTCCCATGTTTTTGATCCAATAAACGATCAACCAATCAACGGGCTGCTCGTCGTAGAATGTCGCCAAAAAAGTCGACAACATGTTCAAATCGGTCGATCTCAACAACTTTCCAATGAATCCTAACACAGAAAAATCGAGAATTGACCAGATTCGCGCCTTTGAAAATGACGGGGCATCACTATTTCGTTTGGGGTCAGAGTCTTTTATTAGGTCAGAGTATTGAGTTTTGTTTGAAAATTGTTTCAGTGAAATCATCTGACTCTTGAAATGTAGGGCCTCGATGAAATATTTGATGTGTTTGTAATAATTCAATCCACATTCCACGTCATCCTCGATTTGCATGTGGTAATGGGATAGTGTGCTGCTGTATCGAAACAATATTGTGTAATCCAGCACCTGTTTGTGAATGAATGAATGAGTGATGGATGCAGATAAACAAGAATGCTGAGAAAAATGAAAAGTTGAATGAAGTTTATTTAATGGGAAGGCGTATGCCGTTGAGAAAACTATTGAAGTTTAAGAAGCCCAATTTTTCACAAGCACCTGCTTAGCTCTCCAACTAATTCTGTCTTCTGCATCATTAAAATTTCTTTTCAGACCGTTCAATTGTGGGTAAAACATTTTATCAACGCGTAAAACATGGAAGAATCCAGAATTTAAATAGTTGGGAAAGAGACTTTTGATCTGATTCTCAACTAAAATGTTGTAATTGTCATCTAAATCACTCAAAAGAATGACGCATGTCGTGTTTAACTTCTGTTCATCTGACGTTCTCAGTATCAAAAATTCCAAAGTTTTTAGTAAATAGGTGGCGTTAATTACTCTCTTTATTGATGGAATGCCAATGGTTAGGAATACTATTTTGGAAATTTGGATAATCATAGTTAATAAATTCATTTTTAAATATGAAATTTCGTGTTTAAATTTATGTCAAATAACATTGAATTAGAATTATTATTATTATTAGCCTGTTTCATTTCTCATTTGACCAGTTACATGTAGATACTTGTTCAAATCATTTGTATTTGTAAGGTCTGGATTCATCTTGCTTTCTAGAACTTTCTGCATCAAATAATATTCATTTCAAGATAATTATGACATGAAATAATTTTAATAATACAAATATAATTATTACCACAGATGGCAGAGTGTCAATAAGCTTACTTATGAACTGAATGCATTGGTGTTTTTCTTCTTTTGTCTCTTATAAATTTAAAAATTAATGTACAAAAAAATTTCTTTATTTTAAAATAACAATAAATTAAATAATAATTAATGACTATTTTAAAATTATTAAAAATTTTATTAAAATTATTTTATAAATGATGAATTTAACTGTTAACAGAATAAAAAAAAGTACTTGAAACAGCTTTTCTGACATTGTTGTTGGCGTGGTGTCTTGAGTAGATGAAAACTTCAATCGTTATTAAAATTAGAGAAATTACCAGCAGGGTTTTTAGTTTATTTTTCACTAATTTTCGTATAACAAGTAGTGGTGTTGAAAACGATAGCATGACCTTTTGTTTTGAAATAGACGGTGAAAAATTCAAAAAAAATAACTCTGAAATAACGTAAATTTGCAAGTAAAAATAAAATTTTTAACATAAAATAAGCAATCTAAATTCCAAAATAAATTTTTCTATCGCAATGTTTATCGTTTCCAAAAGCAAAAAGAAAAGTGGATCGTGGTTTTTATTTAATTTTTTAAAATTTGTTGCGCACACATAACTTGAATATATCGGACTATTTGACATGCTTGGATTATTGGCATACGAAATTGCATGGATTTTAACGAGCAAGCTATATGAAATATTTACTTGAGTAAATATGCTTAAAAAATTGTAGTAATTCTACTTAATTTTATTAAATAAAATTATGTATTATTAAATAATTGTTGTTAATTTGATTACATACCTTTTTTACATTATTCGGTCATGTTAAAAATTTGTTTGCATATGAAATAAACGTCTTAAATAAATCAAAATTGTTATTTCGTTAAGTTTTAACAGTTTTGATTTTTTTTACGCTGTCTATTTCTTTGAAAAAAACAAGGTCGGCTAAGTAAAAACGTGACTATAGTTCAATCCTAGTAAGCTTTAGTACACCACTGTATTTCACCGAACAAAATGCAATTAATATAATCAAATTGACAAAAATAATTTCAAAATATATGTTTTAATTAAATTACATTGTTTCAAACATAATATATAAGATAAATATTTCATATAGCTTGCTCGTCGAAAAAAAACCGATGCAATTTCCAGAGCCAGTAAGCCTTCAATCCAAGGTAGTTAAATAGCCCGATCCATATAGTTAGCAGCCATCGCTTTAACAAATTTAAAAGTAAATCTTTTTAGAGATAAACAAAATGTCAGCTACAGGTGAACCACTGAATTTAGCGAAAGGTGAAATGAATCAATTATTTTACTTCAATTTATATTTTTTTATTTTATTTTAAATTATTTAATTCAAACATTCAGATATTCAAAGAGCCATCGAGCTTTTGGACGTTTTGCAAAGGAGTAAGCAATTTTAAAATAACAATTAAAAAACTATTATTAAAAATTTTTAGTATTAATTAATTAAATTAAAAATTTTTTTTTATTTAAAATTTTATTTAACTAACAGTTTGTAATCTTTTCAATATACTTCTTCATTTAAAATATTTGTCCAGTAACGGAAGTTTAAAAAACTAAAAAATGTATTTTACTGATTCTTTTCCTTCCAGCTGGGGATTTTCACAACTCTAAATTGGCGGACCTACAGCGAGTGTTACAAAGTGATTTTTTCACAGCAGTACGTGAAGTGTACGAGCATGTTTATGAAACTGTTGAAGTCTATGGAAGTCCGGAAGTTAGAGCTAATGCAACAGCCAAGGTTTTAAAGAGTTTTTTTTGAGGGAAATTTCAAATTTCCCAAAATGAAACAAAAATAAAAATAATCAAAACTCCTAATGACAAACGTTGATAGGCAACTGTGGCTGCATTTGCGGCCAGTGAAGGTCATGCACATCCTCGAATTGTTGAATTAGAAAAAACTGAAGAAGGATTAGGATTCAACGTGATGGGTGGTAAAGAACAGAATTCCCCAATTTACATTTCTAGAATCATTCCGGGGGGCATGGCTGACAGGCAGGGAAATCTTAAAAGGGGCGATCAATTGCTGTCCGTCAATGGTGTGGTTAGTAATTAGTGTATAGATAGGTGGACTTGAGAAATATTTTATCCTCATATTTGAATATTCATTAACCTTATTTAGTCATCTAATTTAAAATAGATTTTATTTAGCTATTAGTGAGTCCATAGTGGTTCTAAATTATTGTTTGCTTAATTTAGATGTGGTGTCATTTAAATTTTAAAATGATTTTATTTTTTGAAAAGTTATTTTGATCATAATGTTTAGAGTGTTGAGGGAGAACCTCATGAAAGAGCTGTTGAATTATTAAAATCTGCCTCTGGTAAGTTAAACTGGCAATCAAAAATTTATCCATTTTATTAATTAATTAATTAATATATCATTATTATATGATTATAATCAGCACATCCCTATTATACCATTACAATCGGCACATCACTAATTTAATTACACATCTCTACTTTTCTACTAAATCGCATCATACTTGACACGTCTCAGTTAATTTTGTCGTCTACTTAGTAACATATTAATTTCATAATTGTAACCAGCACATCGCTGTTTTAAACAAACAACCTAACGCAACTCTAATTCAGGTACAGTTAAGCTGGTTGTTAGATACACGCCAAGAGTTCTTGAAGATATCGAGGCAAGGTTTGACAGGAAACAGATCAGAAACAAATTCCCTTAAATAATTTCAAATTTTCTCATTTATATACGAATGAATTATTAATATTGGTATGAATTTATAAATAAGCTTTGGGAGAGTATGATTGAATTGATCAGTGAATTGATCAATGAATTATGATTCACATTTGCATTATTATGTATATTAATCTTTCGTGCTAATTATAACTTATAGCCTTTAATTCATTTACTTTCTATGTATGTGTCTTTTCTTCATAGAGTTTGCTGCTATATTATCTCTGCTTGAATTCATTTCTTAATTTTAAAATTCAGTTCACTGATTTTAAAATTATGCAATTAAATTAATGTTAACCATATTATTTATTGTCATCCATAATTATTTCGTTATCATTTGTAATAATCAGGAGTCTTTAAATAACTAAATTCATATACACGCTCAAAATATTTTAACATGGGCTGAGTATGGTGAGTTGAGTTAAGGACTTTATATTTAGTTTTTCTTCTCTGTACTTTTCTTATCTGTCCGAAAGTTTTACGCTGTGCGCCTTTCAGATTACGTATATTAGGTACGCATATGACATTTTCGTCAGCAACATCTTAAATGGATGATATATAGATAATAATACGCTTATGGAAAGATAAATTGAAAAAAAAACATTTATTTGAGGCTGTTTATATTCTTTTTTTTAATGGCGTCATAGTACTAGTGCACACACACACACACATATATACACACACCTATAAATTAATTAAGAAATACATACACATGTATTATTACATATATATATAACATATACATGTGTAACAAAATTAAAATGTGATGAAATTTCGTCATTTTTTCATGCTAAGATAGATTTAAATTACTTTGAGAAAAAAATAATTATTAAGACGGTTTTACTAAATCAATTTTCCTAATTCCTGAAATTTAGAAATGGCAAATGAAAGAAAGAGATTAGCAAAAAATATTTCAAACAACCAACTCAACTTATGGCAACAAAACCGAAAGGTCAAAAAACGCTTAGTGAGATAATATTAGTATTGTACAACAAAGAGCTATATATGACTATGAGAGAGAGAGAGAGAGAGAGAAACAGAGAGGCAGAGCAAGAGAGAGAGAGAGGATAACATATGAATACAGACATAAACTCATCTCAGGTTGCTGCAAAATTAACGCCTGTTGTGTGTTACATAACTTATCGACGGAAAGTTTTTAAATTAATTTTATTAAATATATCGATAATTACATATCAATGTAATGGTTATTTACCCCTATATTTCTAGTTTATATCAAATATTTAGTTATTCCTTCCAATGTGCATGTTTCTTATTTAAATCTGTATATGCAAATATGTTGTCAGCGGGTGATTTTTGAATTATATTGCTTCATAAGTTTAATCAACTTCAGGTATAATGCGGCAGATGAGCGTTCATATTTCGATTGAATATCTATATTTATTTTAGAAGCCATGTTATCGCAATTTAAATTGGGAGGTAAGAAACAGATACATACATACATACAAAAGCACCTCAACATAAAATCTTTCAACCACATTCACTAATTTTCCTAATCCGGGCCGAACGTCATCTGTCCTGGACCCCCCTTCTTCATGTATCGCCTGTACTGCTTGTAGCGACCACTGTCGGCCATTTGTTCCTTCATCTCGTCCTGCTTCTCTTTTTTGTAAGCCTGCAAAATGAATGGAATCCAGATGTGTTAGTGGTTAGTTAGTGGTGATGAGAATGATGGTGATGAGGAAGATGAGGAATGTGATGACGACGACGATGATAAAAATATACTTGGAAGTTTTCTTTGATCCAAAGTTCTCTTCTCATCATGTCTTCTTTTTCGTTATCATCCAGACCCTGATCAACATAATCATTATCATCATCAAACAAACGAACGAACAAGCAAACACAAACAAACAAACAAACAAACATACCTCCCACTTAATCTGACTGAGACCCATGTATCTCCTAATTACATACTGCTTGTCCTCCTCTGTGTATTCAAGCTTCAGTATGTTGTATCGGTAGAACCATTTGAAGTACCTTTGTGTATTGTGTAATTTGTATCTGATACACACATAAATAGACACACACACAAACAATGAGACACACATAATGACACACACACACAAACAAAATGATAAGGACATTCATCGTCTTCATAATTGTCAGTGAAATTGATCAGTAACAATCAGCACTGTCATCAATAAAAACGTCAACGAAATTCACTTATTCATTCATCAATTCGTTCGTTCGTTCATTCATTCTTTCATTCATTCATTCAACCAATCACTCACTCACCATATGATATATAGAGCGAGATAGTATGGAAACATAAACAGCTGAATCCACAATGTGTCATAAATCGTCGGCTTACTATAACCACCCCTATAATAACAACAACAAAAATAATAATTATTATTAATAATAATTATTATTATAACTAATTATAGTCTATAACTTTTAGAATTTCATATCTGACGTGAGTGTTTATTTGGTTTATTAACATAGTTAACTATGGCTAATTGTTGTCATTAAACGTACAATGAATTACAATTAATCATCATCAATCAATTGATTGATTGATTGATTCATTCATCATCATTATTAATATTATTATTAGTAGTAGTAGTAGTAGAGTAGTAGTAGTAGTAGTGGTAGTAGTAGTAGTAGTAGTAGCAGCAGTAGTAGTAGTAGTAGCGCCACTGATAGAATAATTACTTGATGTCTATTTTTTCTCTGATGACAGATTTGATCATATTTTCTTCCTCTTCTTTCAGCTCTTCCTGATGATGATGATAGCGATGATGTTGGTTATGATGATGATGGTGGTGATGGCGGTTGAAATGACTCCATAACCATAAAAACACCAAGAAAGACGTCATCATTGTCACAACTCACTCACCTTACTTTTACTCTTATCTTTCTTTTTCACATTCTTTCCATCCCTCGACATCATGCCTTCCTTCATACAATACTCTACAGCTTGAATTCGGTACTTAGGTACGGTCGCGAAGTAATCAATGGCTGACTTGTAATTGTTCGAAGCACTATAATACTAGCGACAGATTATTATGATTTGTTATTATTTTAAATATTATTACTCATAATTATTATTATTAAAATCCACTTTTCACGCCCACACACACGCACACACAAACTCGCATATAGATGAATACATGCAACACCAGCAACAATAAATCACAATTATATCATATTTTCATAGGTAAAACCTTATTTTTCCAACCCACCCTAGCCTAAACTAACTTGTATAAAGGAAATTAGCGTAATAGTGACGACGATGACGACGCGAATGTCGACTTTTGGGGCCACTCGTCGCCTATAGTAGCGGTAATAATGCGAGTAGTATTCCTCTGGCGAAAGAAAAGAAATTGAAATTATTTTCAACCATTTAAAATCAGGCTAACGCAAATTTGTATATAAATTAAAGGCAATTTGCATAAATTGACGGTAATTTACATAAATTAACAATAATTTGAAAAATTAACATAATTACAATAAGTTATTGAGAAACAATCTATGCAACCTGGGTGGTCTAACATGTAGTCATAGTTTGATCGGCTCTCTTCATCTCTCAGAGTCTAAATAATAAAAACAATACCAACACATTATTACTACTACTATTAATAATAATAATAATAATAATAATAATGATAATGATATTGTTTTAAATAGTGATGATAATTGTATAAATATATGTGTTAATGATGCCATAGATGATGAAATGTGAGGATGATATTAGATATTTGCAACAATGATAATGATGATAACGCGAGTGATTGAGTGAATTAGTGAATGAATAAAACCATAATTACATTTTAATTATAATTATATATATATATATATTAAACCTCGTAAGCCGTTGCAATCTTTTGAAACATAGAAGCTGCTTCATCCTTATCTTTCTGTAATGTAGACATCGTCAAAAAATTTAGTGCTACATTAAAAATATTAAATCTATAATAATATAAATTACAATCATAATAATAATATATAAAAACTAAAATTATTATTATTTATAACAATCAAGTTTCATAAGTCAGTTACAAATTAGACATTAAAAAGTTGCATTGAACATATTAATTAGAAGCTATGATCAAATAGTAAACAGATGAAGTCAGAATTTTAATCAACATTTGAACAAAAATATGATGATTGTTGATCAAAATGTAGTGATAATGTAAAAAAGACTTTTGAAAAATTTGTAATAAAAAAACATGATTGTTAGTAATCTGAAAATCGTAAAACCTGACCACATTAGACTCACTTTATGCCGATCAGGATGCCATTTCTTTGCTAAGTTCCTATATGCTTTGCTTATGTCACTCTTAAAGTTTGAATTTTTAAAAATTTGACACTGTTTGGTAAATGCATGCACGCATTTACATACACACGCACGTACACCACACATACATATGTAGAAATGTACTCAGTACTATACAATGTATACATACATTATGTTATATACAAACACAGACCTTGGGCGAATCTCTTGTTAAGCCAAGCACTAGATTAAAATAATATATATATATAAATATTAAAAATATAAATAAAAAAATTGCTTATTCAGTTAAAAAATTAATTAAATAGTAGTTAAAAATCAATTAAATGAATTTATCTATTCAACATTTTAACGTTTTACCAGAGTGGAGATGGTAAATAAAAATTTAATATAATTTTAAAATGGCAAAAATTGGAGGACAAAAATTTGTTTGAGGACACCAATGATGACAGTCGCGTATCATGATCATCTCTATGAATTATTTCCTAAATTTAATTTCCTAATATAAGATGAATTTATAAAACACTAACAGTCGTAACAATTATCCTCCCCACAGTACAGGCCTTCCAGCATGCCATGGGAAAATTTTAAAAATAGCAAAAAGTTTACATGGAAAATTATTATTTTCATTGTTTTTTTTAATTTAAAAAAAAAATGTTTATTATTAATTTTTATAATGTGGGCGACACTAATTTATCGATTGGGCATTGATTAGTGATACGTGTGCTGGAAAATCGTGAATTTGACCAGCAGAAGTTTACTTTTAAATAATTAAATTAAAAGAAGAAAATATCTTGGCGCTATACTAGTATATGATATAAAGAGAACAAATATGAATAGGAATTTTATTCTATACTTATATAGGAAAGACGCTAAAAAATGTCAAAATCTTAAATAAAATATTTGAAATGATTTATATATTTTGCAAATTTGGTTTATATTAATTAGTCCATAATCTCATACAATTTTGAAAACGAAATGCAATAAACTATTTTACATTCCATTGCCATTACTTATGAATTTCATACATGTACATCATACCTAGTACGTACATACATTCTTACACGCACACGCATGCATACATACGTACATATGAACTGCGTATTCGTGAACGAAGAACTGATTTCATGTGGGCAAAAAGTCCAATTCTAGACATTCGTCGACAGTCAGAGATTCCACAGACCCACATCCTTGTACCGCTTCCATCCTGGACTACCTGTCTCCGTACGCTGCTCACCTTCAGTGCAGAATGTTTTTGGATCCAACTGAAGTGCTCAGCCTAGCGGTCCAGAATACCAGGGCCATCTTTGATGAGTGTTGGACCGTCACATTAGTGCACAGGAACACTGCCTGATTCGCGCGGGCCAAACACCTTTTTCAAAATTTTGTGGAAAGATTTCATGTCTTAGCCCTCCGCATCCTGCTCACCAAACCAGTCCCTATGGGCCCCACGTCGCAGATCGAGCACTTATACCGCAACTTTTTCCAGGGTCTGCCTGAACTGGGGAGGCCATTCGATACCTGTCTCCTTCGCTGGATTATTCTCTTTTTTGACAAAATGATTCCCTGATTGCCCCATCCAATTTAGCCACATACAAGGTAGTAGGTCTAACAACTCTTTGGTGTCTCTTGGTTGGTTTGTTGTGAGGAACACATTGTAGTTTCCCGAAAAGCTTTCGTTTGACGAGCGAGACAAAGGCCACGTTGTCTTGTTAGGATGCAGTCGATAAGATGCCTTATAAATTGCATACATGTACATCATACGTACTTACATACATCATTCATACATGCACGCGCGCACACACACACACACACACACATACATACAAACACATACGCATATAAACACATACAACTCTCACATACACACACATGTGCAAGTGCATGCATACATAGGGTGTCAGCATTTGCTCTGGAAAGCAACTGAAGAAATATGTACACTCGAGTGTAGCTTACAATACGATGTACACTACGCATACTCACTCTCTCCCTCTTTCTCTCTCTCTCTCTCTCTCTCTCTTATTCTATATATATACATATATACTATACATACACTTATATATTAATACATACATATATGTGTATGCGTTAGTATGGAGTGAATGTACAAGATGTTATTTTGTTTCTGGATTACAATTACATGAACGTTTGCGTCTGTTAATGTTCTTGAAGAAATTTTTGAAAAGTTGAAGATTTATTTTGTTTATTTTTTTCAAAAAATTATTCATCTAAACTAAATTGTGATTAATCAATTCATTTTTTCAAACCGTCTTTATATATTTATTGCGTAAAGGAATGGATGCAGTTCCTATTTCTCAGGAATTGTAAGATAATTTGATTGAGATAGTTAGCGTATCTTACTGTATTTTTTTTTATTTTATTTCCGATAAATTAAACGCTATGCCATGTTTTTATTTATACCAAAATGTGATTTTTTTTATTGATCGGTTTTAACACCATCACCACCATTATCATCATCATTATCATCATCATCATCAAAAACAACAACAATTTCGTCATCATCATCAATATCATCATTATCATCATCGTCATCGTCTTCATCATCATCAATCTTCATCCTATGTAAACAAAACTCTTTTATGAACGGTTACAAAAAGCCGACAAAATAATAATAAAACATTAATAACATTTGTGCTATTATAATAATAATTATTGTCGTTGTTGTTGTAGTTGTTGTTCAGTTGTTGTTGCTGCTGTTTTTGTTGTTGTTATGATGGTACCATCATCGAATTAACTTCAGTTGCAGTCTATTGATGTGCCAGTGTACGTTTTCCATCGTGAAATTTGGTGATTGCTCTTACGTTCGTTAATTCGTTCGTTAGTTCGTTCGTTCATTCGTTCGTTTGTTCGTTCGTTCGTTTGTTCGTTCGTTCGTTCGTTCGTTCGTTCGTTCATTCATTCATTCATTCATTCAGGAAGTTTCACTCGAAGATAGCACTATAACATTTGCCAGATATCCAGATGTATAAGTATTAGCGAAAAAAAACAACAGGAAATAGTAACATAATAATAATTATAATAAGTAATAATAACAACTATAATAATAATAATTAATAATAATAATAATAAATAATAATAAATAGTAATTAAAATGAACAGCGGTGTCATTAATGAGCGGAGATCACCACCACCTCTTCCACACCATCACCATCATCATCATCATCATCCTCCATTATATCTTTACTCATCTTGTAACAACAACAACAACAACAACAATAATAATAATAATAATAATAATAACAATAATAACAACAATAATAATAACAATAATATGAATAATAATAATCGTAATTGCCATCATCATCATCATAACTGCCCTCACCATCCAAACTACGGACATCATCATCATCCTCAACAACAACAACAACAACAACAACAAATATATCAACAACAACAACAAATATATCATCAACAACAACAACAACATCAGCATAAGTTACAACAACGAAATCACAGCTTCAGCGGTCGATATCTTGATGACGATGACATCAACAACAAAAACAACAACATTGATGACGACGATAATGACGTCAGATCGTTATCGCTAAAGCCTACAGGTGAGATATTGATGGTGTTCTAGAGAGAGTGAAAGAGAGAGAGAGAGAGAGGAGTGAGAAAATTTTAATGTTTTAATAGTTCGTAGAATTTGTATTTATTATCATCTTATAATATTATTCCATTTCACCGGAAGCAGATGATTTGGTCTACAAGATCGCGGGCCATCAACCGCCACACCACCATCACCAGCCACAACAACAACCACAACAATCGTCATCATCTTCGTTACCCCAACTACCTCCAAAGCAGCAGCAGCAGCAGCAGCAACTAACATCGCCTCAAACATATTTTACAACATCAACAACCAAACCGAACTCGCCGATTTACAACCGAATCAATAGCGACAATAACATCAGCGACAACAACAACAACAACAACAACAAAAACATCAATAACAATCACATCATCAACAACAACAACAACAACAACAGCAAAAATTCATTTTGTTGTCGAATTTTTTGTTGCAGTTGTTGTTGCTGCTGTTGCAGCGACACGTGTCGGCAGAATTGCGTCCACAGGACGAATCGAGGTCTCCTCAAGTTCACCAGATGCTTCCTAATCATCCCTAACATTCTATTTTTAGTAAGTCGGATATTTATAGCAATTGAGAGTTATTTTTAGTAACTCTCAAGGAGTTAACTTGTTTTAAATTTCGTCATTGTTTGGTTTTTAAAATTTGCGTGGTGTTATTTTTAATAACCGGAGCGAAGTTTTTAAATTGAAATTAGGTTATCGGTCTATTTATAGCAACTGGAAGTTATTTTTAGTAACTGGTGGGTAGTTTATTCAATTTAAATGACGTCATTGTTCTACATTTTGACGGTGGGGTGTTTTCCCGAATATAATATTATAATTGAGGTTTTTATTACCAAAGATCATAGGTAGTTCAATGATCGGAGTTGGCGCGTTTTTGAGATCGGAAAGAGATTCCTACTATTATGACGAAGTGCTGAATAGGTTGGTTGATTGATTGATTGGTCGATTGATTGGTTGATTGATTGTTTGTTGATTGATTAAACGTTGTCAAACGTTGACGAACAAAGAAGAACTGTGGTAAAAGTGATTGATTGATTGAAATTTGCGTAAAAAACATCATCAACAACAGCAACAACAACATCAACAACATCAACAACAACATCAACAACAACAACATCAACAACAACATCAACAACAACATCAACAACAACATCAACAACAACATCAAAACAGGGTACCAGTTGGTCCCTTGTTAACGTACGACAAGTTCCCGGTCGTCATTATCGCCATGGGTTCTTGCATCTTGGTCCTGAGTTTTCTCGGCTGTTGTGGCGCGTGTGCGGAAAGTGTTTGTTTTTTATGCTTGGTTAGTCATGATGATGATTCGATGTAGTTATGATGATGATGATGATGATGATGATGCTGATAATGGTGATTATGATGTAATGATTGTTTCTATTTCTCCTCTTCTTCTTTCTCCTCTTCTTCTTCCTCTTCTTATTATTATTTTTATTATTAACCGACAGTATACAACATTCCTCGTCATCATCATCATAACCGAAATTTCTCTCGCTACATTGGCTTACAGCATGAGCCAACAGGTAAATTATTATTATTATTCATTATCATTATTAGTATTATTTATTATCATTAATTATTATTATTATTATTACTTGTGAAGATACAGTTGAGGCTTCAGCAGTCGATGCAGAGGCAGATTCGATTCGACTACAACATCAGCACCCTGCCCATCACTACTGCATCTCGCGATGGATATCCACCAAATATGACTTACATCAAGCACATGACTATAGCTTGGGATAGGCTGCAAATTCAGGTCTGTGCTGATGATGATGCTGCTAATGACGATGATGATAGTGATGATGATGAATATGATGATGATGATGATGACGGCAACGACGATGATGATGTCGATAATGGTGATGAAATCATCATGGTTATCCCCACAATAGTTTAGTTGTTGCGGTGCCTTGGGCCCGGAGGATTATATCTATAGTCTTTGGTACAACAACACACAGCTACAACAACAACAACAACACACCAAAGTGCCACCATCTTGTTGCACCGGGTTGGACGGTTTAAATAACCAGTCAAGTTCTGATTGGTCGAAAGTTTTTCGAGCTTGCCAGTCAGAAACGGCGAATTATTTGGGAGCCCTTGAGGTGGGGCTT